CATACAATCCGATATTCCGACGGCTCTGCAGCCCGCGGGCGTGTCAGTATAGGAATAACAGACTCTCAAATGTCTGTATGTCACCGGCTACCGGACCAGTACTCCGTCTTTTCGGTAGAGGCTGCCGCTGATTTCATCGCTGCCACTTAACCATCAAGCAGACCAATCGCGGTTTTCACGGATTCCGCCAGTGTAATCGAGGCTCTCGGATCGGAAATTTCCAAGCATCCCTAGATCCAGGGTATTCAGAAATACGCACCCAACAACACCGCTTTTCTTGGATCCCTGGACACTGTGGTGTCCGTGGGAATATAGAGGCTGATCACCTGGCGGCTTCCGGAAGAGAAGTTCCTATGTACATCCGGAAGGTCCCAGCCAAGGATTTGAAACACTGGGTTTCAAATGTGATCTGGGAATCCTGATCAGCCGATTGGCTTCGCTCAAGGGATACTTTAATCCAAAAGATCAAGTACGACATACATAGGTGGGAGGACCCACGAGACCACCATACCCAGATCGTGATGTCTCGCCTAAGAACGGGGCACACCAACATTTCCCATAACTTTACTGGGAACGGCCCTTTCCGCAGGATGTGCGACATCTGCCATGTCCCGCACGCGGTAGAGCACTTCATATGCCACTGCCCACGATATGAGGGGTCCCGCAAATTGTATGACATACCGGAAACTATCAGAGATGCCCTTAGTGAGGACCCGACAAGAACCGCGGCATTACTCGATTTTCTCCGAGAAGCCGGACAACTCGAAAGCATCTAACACTTGTATATTGAACCCGATCAGATTCTGCACAACCCCACAAAGACCAACCTTAGCTTCTCACCTGAAAACGAACATGAACGACCGACAATACCTGACCCACATCATATTTCTCTTAAGGATAACGCCAACGGATGATTTATACGACAACAACAACCGGACGACAGTCATGACAGCAACTACGACAGAAACAACTCTGATAAAACTAAAACTATGATTTTAGGGAGGGCTCCCTTGTGGGGCCTCCACCAAAACTCTGTAACTAGGGGAACTCCATTCTGGAGTCCCATCCCATTACAAACTTTGTAGTTAGGGGGGCTCCCTTCCGAAGCCTCCAACTACGTACGAGACGAACCAGCCCAAGGCTGAAAGTCTCGTTAATAAAGAAAACTAAACTAAACTAAACACTAAGGAGATTTTTATGACGCAACCGGAGGGGTTCACAAAAGGAAAGAACCTAGTCTTCCATTTGCAAAAAAAAACCCTATATGGCCTTAAACGCATCTCGAGGAACAGTCGATTTCACAACTTCGTGGTGAACCATCTTGGCTTCAAGCAAAGTGCCAACGACCAGTGATTGTACACCCGAGGATCCGGAGCGATTAGGGTGATTATGGTTCTTTACGTGGACGACATACTGATTGCCGGAGCGTCGGTGAAATCAAGTGCTTTCTGGGACTACAAGTTAACTCATCGATACTATCTGGAGAACGTTCGAAGCGCTTTAAAATGGAGGACTGCAAGCCGTGCTAAACGCCCATCGAGATTCGCCTGAAGCTGCCGAAAGGGAACGAACAGAATTGAACCGTGCAGCCGTTCAGGGAACTAGTTGGTTGCTTGTCATACGTAGCCCTAACCACTAGACCGGATCTGACAGCGGCAAGGAACTTCTACAGCCAGTTACAGAGCTGCCCCAGTGATGAGCACTGGACTCATCTGAAAAGGATATTGCGATACGTCAAGGGATCGCTCGATTTCGGCCTGGTCTACCGTACGGATAAAGCCGCGCCGCTGCTGAAGGTCTTTTCGGATGCCGACTGGGCCACCGACTCCTCTGGTCGTCGTTCAGTGAGCGGTGGTGTGTTTAAGGTGTTCGGAAATACAGTCAGCCGGCTCACCAAGAAGCACCAAACCGTCGCTCTCTCATCGACCGAGGCAGAGCTGACAGCTCTGCATGGTGGCCTGCCACGAGATGTGGATGAGCCGTCTTATGCACGATTTGGGATACAGGAGCAAGGAACCAATCTGCGTTTACTCAGTCTGCTATGAGGATTGTAACTGTTCGTTTTTCCCGGCAAGTTCAGTAGCAAGAGACCCCTCGAGCTGGGTCTCAGGATCGGCTTACTACTTGGTAATCACGAGGAACTTCGCGAACAAAATGTGCAGCGTACGGTCACCTGACTAGAAATACTGTGTAGTGTGAATTTATTGATTTAAAGATTTACTTTGACTTTGAGGGTTTTTATTTAATAAATTGGTGTGTTGGTGGGATTGGTTTAGATTTCTGTAGTCTGTTTGTGGGTGTGGATAAAATTAACTGTGTTCTTCGGTACGTACCACTGCTTATTTTGGCGTCCTGCGAGGGCTCGCTGCTACTGCTGCTGACGACGAGCAGGCAAGCTGATTCCCAAAACAGTGGGTAATTACTGTTTAACCGCACGAAGGTTTGGCGGGGTTTGTCGATGGTATGTGGCTGTGTAAGCCTTTCAGGCGTCCTCCCTCGTTGACGGAGATTGACACGGCCCAGGACGATACCAGAGTGACCGTTTCAAGAGGGGGAAGGCTCCTTTACGTTTAGGGGTTTCGCCCCCGAGCTTGAAAAGCCTCCTTACGGGCGGCTGACCCAGAGGTTGGATTGGTCCTTTGCGGTTGGACGTAGCAAACCGAGGTCTACTACGCCGAATCGTGTGCACCTGGTCGAGCTTCTCATTAGAAAAAATGGCGACTTTCAGTCGAATTAACACAATACAAAAAGGTCCTGTGAGGGTAATGGGAGGTATTAGAGAAGCCGTACTAATCTTCTAGTCATTAGTAGTGAGCTAGATTTAGTTAGTTTTTAAGCGTAGGATAGGTAATTAGCGTACCAGACGAATCCGCCGTCTTCTCCCTTTTTTGCTGGATACGGCTCACTTAGCAATGTGAAGGACACTTTAAAATATGGCTCTTGTGCACACGAACGCCTGTAACTTTATGAGCAATGACGCTCCTCCTTATTCTCTTCAACCTCGTTGTAGCTTCTTTGTTGCTGTATGTGAGGTTGGGGGGGAGGGGGTTCGTTATCACCACCTTTGTAAATTTTGACACACTTCGCCTGCTGGTCTACTCTTCTATCATTTAGTTGTTGTACCCACTGGCTTGCATGCGATTCACCTCACTTATTTTGTACAAAATTCAAATTCTACTAACCTATAACATTTTTAATAGACACTAGGTACATTTTTACTAACATTTACTAGTCCTACTACCAACCCTAAATTTAATCCAGCACCACTTAACTCTAGAGACGTGACTGTACACAAAATAAAAGCACAAATAAAAAAATACTAACAATTTGTAACAGTCGATTACAGGATCGCAGAGGAATCGAAGGATTTCGGACGGGTCAAACACATCTACGTAAAGTTCCACTTCCTGCGGGACTTGATAAACAACAACACTTCCGTTTTTCATTTCATTACTCTCTTTTTGAATACACACATTTTCTATGAACTAATCGTTGGTTTTACGTCTTTATATAAAGCCATAGAAAAATAAAGTTTAGAAAGGTTGGGCTGTTATAGCTGCCTGCTCTATAGCATGATACTGCTATTCAGATAATCTGGCGATAATCTTCCTAAATTGCACTGTTAGTATTTTCAGTACATAATAAAAGGTTCTCTTTTGATATCTCATATGACAAAGTTTCATTGCAATCTGGCTAATACCGTTAACCTACCTGAAATCCAAGCTTATCCCATTTTAAACCTCTTACAACATGTCAGACCTTCACTAAAACAATCCAAATACTTACTATGTACTGTTGAGCTGTTCCACGCCAACTGATGAATCGATTTTATTTTCCCTCTCTTGATTCCATGAAATTTCACATTTCCTAGTGAACGGGCAATGAATTTGTGCCGGAATTTGGCCATTTTGACTCTCGCATAATTTTTCAAAATAGCATATTTGACATTTTCAATAAATCGTAGCACGAAAATGGCTCATCTAATCGAAATGACGTCTGAGACCAGGTTGTAGGAAGCTTGATTGACTTTTCAGAAGAAAAAAAAATCAATCTGGAAAATAGCGCAAACTTTCGTCAAAAATTGAAATAAAAAGCTGCCAAAAACGTTAATAACTTTAGAATTTTTTAGATTTTTTAATTTATGTTTATTTTAGCAGATTTTTTTTTTCATTTTTGACGAAAATTTTCGCTTTTTTTAGTTTTTTCTTTTATTTTCGGAAGAGTCAATAGAATTTATTTTTTGTGTTGTGGAAGTTTCTAACAGGTTTTTTTTTTGTCAACATATTTTTCTGTAAAGGCAATCCAGATTCCTACAACTTTATCTCAGACGTCATTTCGATTAGATGAGCTGTTTTCGTGCTACATATAATGTATTGCAAAATATCGAAAACGTCATTTTGAATAACTGGGCGTAAGTTAAAATGGCCGAATTCCAGGACAAACATAGTTAATTGCCCCTAGTGAACAATTATGTGAAATTTCATGGAATTGTGAGAGGTTGTTTCACTATTTAGCCTGGAACTGCTCTGCTCTAATCACCCTAAACATTGCCAACAGGATTGCACAAACAGCAACGCGCAAAAATAAACATTGCATCTGATGTCAATCAGTCAAAGTCGCAATTCAAAGAATGCACAACGACACAAGCTGCAACCACCCCGAAAAGTGCTCCGGGGGAATCCTCAAACTCGAAGCACCGCAGCTCGACCCCCTAACGGTTCCCCAAGTTCTGCTGCCGCGTGGGAGGTGAAGCTATAAATCGGTCGCCAAATGAAAAATTCAAATCAAACCGCATCCAACACTTTCCGCGTGCCGTTCAATTATTTAACTTTAACCCCTATTGTCCGTCCGTGCATCCCGTTCCCCCCAACGATCCGCGAAGTCGCCCACCCGAAGGAAGGTCTGTGTGGGTCTGTAGGCCACCAGCGCTTCAAGCAAGCAATTACTGCATTTCTTTGCCCATCTACTGCCATCTGGCCGAGGGGCCCACAAATAGTGAGTGTGAAAAAGTGACGAAAAACAACGACGGCGATCAGTGAGCTGTGCAGCGGAGAAAGATAGTGCACCGTTTGACACAGTCAACTTATGAAAATGAAATTTGTGGTACGTGATTGTAATTAATTGATGGATTATGGCATACAGAAACGATATGGGTGATCAAAGTGTTGTAATTCGAATGATTACATAATGGACGATTGCAAAAAAAAAATCGATAGCATTAATGGAAATGTGGTGATTATGTTGGTGATGGATGGCCCAGAGGATTCTTTTGGATTCGAATCCATCATAACAAACAATGAATCAGTGAACACAATTGGTTGCATGCATACATTTGGGCGCTTTGTGTTGACAGAACGCCTGGCAATATGTGCCCGGATCACATTAGATTGATTGCAAATTTTTGAATACTAGAAAAAGTGGTCCCTAGTGATTGGGGGCTGCCACTGTTGTGGGAAAGGCAAACAATTCTATCCTGGGAAGCCTTTGTGCAAACTTTCGTAAAGCCTGTTTGTTGAAAGCGATGTTTGCAACAGTGGAAACAATGTAATTCGGCTTATGTTGTCGATTTTTATCTCCAATCAAAGTAGTTGATTGGCAGAGGAATAAATATTGACTGAATACCCATTTCAAAGTAGTTCCTAAAACATGAATTTTTATGTGGAGCTCAAATCATTTGATCAGTTCAATCCATTATTCAAGAGTCATCCTATCTGCTTCCTCCCCTGCCATGGAAATACATAACGTTCAATTCACTCTTAAATGACACTTCGTTCCGACTCTCATTGTGACAAATTGCATTGTTATTTTACATATGGTAACAACGTCGTCATCAAGTACATACATATATTCCTTTTCAAATTCCCATCTAGGGTGGAAATATTTCCACTTATTTCTTTCTAGTAGCACAGAAAGAAAAAAAAAACGTACAAGCATCCGGAACACGTAATGCTTCCGAAGTTGAGAAAGTTCATCGGAAAGAGCAACACATTTATGGCTTTGTTCCACAGTTCGTGAAATGCCCATACCGAGAACAGAAAGAGAACGAAGCGTGGTGGCAGTTTCAATAAATCAGATCAACAGCCGCCCAACCCTCTTCCTTCCGGGCTGTCTACTTGTCTACGTATTCAATGCGTACCGTACACATGTTGCGTTGTCTTTTGAGAATGTTTTATTTTGATCACCCGATTGGAAAATCTTGTCGGATTAAAACGTCATTTCGTAGTATTCTAAATTTCAACAAAAATTAAAAATGTTCGAATTTCATTTTGGTCGGTTTCCTGCTTCTAATTTTATTTAAAACTTGAAGCTCCATGCAATCTAAAGAGTCGCGGCGACCCATCAGTAGATAGCAAGCTGCCCTCGGTTGGAGTCTCAGAAATTCAGACAACTTGATCGAGGGTTTTTAAAATTTCATGCAAAATTTGTCTGAATTTTATATTATGTTGAGAATGTGAACAAGACGCAAGAAGTAGACGTAGAATTACGTCTTTGTCAACTATACTATGGTGCAAATAAAAAAAAAACAATGTGGTGAAATAGTGTTAGGTTTTGAACGTTTGTAACTTTGTCATTTATAGATGAAATAAAAATCCAAATACGCCAATCGATAGGATATTACTTTACAAATTTGCTGAAATAAATACTAAGACAAATATCTTAGGAATATCTGTATAAAGACAGAGAGATTGATTTGTAATTTCCAGTTAATTCCACTACCTTATTTGCTTATCCTTAACAGATACTCGTATTTTGTCTACAATGTGCATAATTCTCCAGTGTCTTATACTAATACTCGACTGAAGAAAGCATCGCAACCAAATATATAATTACGAGATGGTTCTCATAAAATTTAAAAAAAAAATATTGAACACTAAATCATTCGAGGCTGCAAAATGGGTGTCGATGCATGTTGACATGGCTAGTTCTCGGCAATGCGATGATCAATAGACTGATGCAAAATTTGAAATTTTCGCTCCACATTGCTCCTGTAACTCCTCTAGTAAGAACCTGACTTGGCACAAACCATTTGAAGTTTATATGGAAATTACTATGGGGAAACCAAAATTTCGGTTCATATCGATCTCAAAATTCACCAGTTCACTCTAATTTAGATAATGAATTCTCAGCTACAACTTTGTTCAAGACCACTTTTCGATCAAATGTAAGGAACAAAAATTATTAATGATTCAAGTGACTGATGTCTTATGATTAAGCTCAATCAACTATTCAGCAGGCAACATTATTGGTGTTTATGGCAAGTAGAATAGAGGACAAAAATCATGGCTACTATGTCACACTGCAGAATACAGTCAATTAATAACTATTTAATTTGACGTTTGGCTGAAAAACAATTTTCTGTAAAGTTGTAGCTGATAAAAATTAGAACTTGTTAACAGTACAATATGGAAAAAGGCTAGAAGACAATGAACAAAAAGTTTGGTTTTCCCATAGTAATTTCCATATAAACTTCAAATAGTTTGTGCCAAATCAGTTTCTTATCAAATGAGTTTAAACTTTCGGAGGCTAATTAGGACCCGATTTGAAACCGTTTGAACACTGTGGAGCGAATATTTCAAATTTTGCATCAGTCTAATGATCAATCAATATGATTCAGCCACAATTCGAAAGGTATTGCTATCTACTTTCATTTAAAACAGGACTGAAGAAATCCAATTGGACCTGTGGTTGACCATCCAGAACGGAAAAGCCCGGAAAAGACCCGGGCAAAATGCGTGTCGATTCATGTCGGTTTTCAAGATATCCGGAATCACGGCGAAAATGGTCAATTCCAGAGATCCGCGATTTTTTTCTAAATTGCATACAATCATGAGCATAGAGGAAATATGCAATCACCATATCGATTCTGCTACCGGTTGTGAGTATTTACAATCTAACTCCCACTGACTGGCAGTGGCATTATAGAAGCTTAAATCCGGGAGTTAGAAGGTGACAGCTCTATCGCAACTCCAAAAGCCCATTTCAAGAACACAAGCATTCCGAAGCTACTTTCGTATACGATAAGCCCCGATCCAATACATTTCAATCTGGGAATCATTATTAATGTACTGGTACTTTCAATCAAGCTGTATTGCTGATTGCTAATCAAGCTGAAATGTTTGTAGTATCACTAGTACTAGTACAAGTACTCGGAAATTAAGTATGAAAATATTATAAAGGACAAATGGAACGAACACTCACCAAATCTTGCCAAGTGAACGCCACAAGCGTGCCTGATGTGTTAAAGGGGAAGTCTCAATTGTACACGATTCGCTTTACGAGGTAATCGGGTTTGTGGTAGAGCTTGCACGGAATGGAATGTCCAGAATATAGTATTGAAACACCTCTTGGCTTTGATCTTCCGTTGGTGTTCTTGGTCTGTTCGTCACTTTGAATGGCTTTGCGCTTAGCGCCTTTCGATTCCTAAGATCCGACAGTCGTCCGACACAATCCGCATACTGTGGAACTCGATTCAGGAAATTCAAGTATCCGTTCGTCACCAAATCACTTTACTGTTAAAAAAAATATCCGGAACAACGCAAAATCCAAAAATTTGACGTGAGGACAATTTTTCGGTTGCATCTACAATCACAGCACTCTTCGATCCATCATATCGATTCTGCAACCGGGTGTGTGTGGCCGGCAGTGTTATTATGGAAGAACTCTCTCTCTCTCTCTCAAGGGGTGGTCACTTTTGTTTTGCGCCAACTTTTTTCTTAGTGTACCTGAAGCTGGGTTTAGACTAGGCAAGTCAAATGATCAACTCAGTTGAATTCAATTTGGCTTGAAAAGTTGAGCCTGGTTCAACTTTTTTCAATTCAAGTGAGTTGATCAAGTCAGTTGAATGGCATGGTTTACACGTTCAATTCGCGTTCAAGTCAGTTGAATTCAACTGACTTGATCAATTGACTTGCCCTGTCTAAACCCAGCTTTAGTGTGCCGCGCTGAACCAAGAGTACCAGTCATCGAACTGACTTTGTCTGTGAAAAATTATATGTTTGGCAACCCGGTATTTTGACAATTCTTGATTTTGTTTTGGTTTTCGAAACCTGAGAACTCAATTGACGACGACGATTTTGGGCGGCCGGAGCCGGAAAGCGACAGCGGTCAAGAAAGTGGTGGACGACTGTCGAATCTTCGGAATCGAAAGGCGCTAAGCGCAAAGCCATTCAAAGTGACGAACAGACCAAGAACACCAACGGAAGATCAAAGCCATGAAGAGGCTGTACAAACTGCCACCGGTAGAGGAAATCAATCGGTTGAAGGAAACGGAAAATTTCTACCACTCGAATCTGTTCCGACTGCAGGTGGAAGAGATGCTAGTCGAGGTGAAGGTGAAATTCAAGGTGTCAAATTATACTGAGCGTTGGTTGGGTGCGTTCCGGAAGTTTTTGAGGACGGTAAAAGATGCGAATAATGAAAGATCTCTGAAGGATGTGGATTATGAAAGGGTTGATTGCCAGACATCGTAACCGAGACTAGATTATTCAAATCGCCATAGGTAGGGGTGGTGAGCTTCAATGTTCGGAAGCAAATGTCGTATTTTCCACTAGCTAATAAACACTCGGATTACAACATCCAGCACATAATCCACCAGTTCGGCACCCTTGGTGTAGTATCGTTTGACCCAGTTGTTACCAGCACCGGATTGTCCGAAAACGAAGTTATGGAACAGCTGTCCAAATGGTCCCGCTCGGACCGAATCCATAGTCCATAGTAATTCATCAAGGTTGATCAGAACCACTCGTGGACGTACTTGCGTACTTCCGGGCGGGACTTGATGGAGATTCACGGTTGTGGTTTCAACAATTGGATTGTATTATGGCAACATCAAAAACAAATTCTGACACATGCGCAGAAAAATTGTAACCATGGGTGCCAGCCCAGTGGCAGGAGCGTACCCAACTAACATTTTCAGCTTTATAAGCCAACTTTTCCTGCGTTGTGCTGTAAGGTAGCTGAAACAAAGCTGCAGATACATCTACAAGCAGAAGCTAGCAAAATAGTTTTCGAGAGCGTTTACTCAACTTTTTCACAACCATTATTCAATTTGTCAGTCTCACTGAATAACATCACCCAACAAACGCTAATGTCGCTTCTATGCA